TAGGGGGCTCAACACACATGTTCTACTCGTTATGTTATTTTTATTATTGAAGTTAATTTATACTTTGACCTTGGCCATAAATTCTCTTTAAATGCATTTCCTTTCAGTTTCCTTTCTTCAGAAACCTCAGAACTAGTGCAACTGAAACTTTACATACGTGTTCCCATCAATGATAAAACAAGAATTTGATCAAAATATTTTAATGAAGTATTTGTTATGGCTGCTTTTGGGAATCTTGTCGAAACAATATTGCTCAAGTACTGTATTGCCATTTCTGAGCAAGTTGTGATCAATTTCATTATATGTGTAGTTAGTAGTTGGACTTCACAATCATTTACCTTATTTTTGCAGCATTACATTTTTAAATACATTTTTAACCAAGACTGTTTTCTTCTTTTGTCAAAAATGCACATTTGTCTCTTTAAACTTCTGTACAGGGCGGTGAACCTTGGTATTGTGTTTTTCTTTATGATGACATTATGTTATATTCAACTGATAAGATTTTACTGTTAGTCATCCGAGTGATTATGCAGAAAATATTTTAATATTGGTGGTGATGGTAATTTTTGTTCAGTGATTGTCTTTGTTTTTAAGTTTGATTTTTTGAAAGTTTACCACTTATCCAGATGAGCTCTTGTGCTATGGACTAGTATTGTGTTTGTGAGTTAGTAGTAGTGATGTGCTTTTTGTACTTACACTGTATTTATTAATCAAGCTGGATTTTTGTGCTCATTAACATCTCAGTTTTTCTCTAAGGTTCAAGAAATGCATTGGTCCCATTTCTATTGTCAGATTTGATTGCTAATTTGGATTTCAAAATTGCTCACCACATCGAAAAACACTTATTTTACCATTGTTTTATTATCCTGAACAACATATTTATAAAACTTATCTTATCTCATGATTTGCACTTCTCTTTCTTGCTTCGACGCTGAGTGGAATGAATGTGAACTTTCTCTGTAAGCCCCATTTCCATACACCCGTGTTCCCCAGACTGCTCTCCTTATAGGCCATGTCCTTAGTCTCTTGCTAAGCGTGCAGCACACTACCCTATCTACCCACTTGACTACCTCAGAGTGATCATTCTACTTCGTGTTGCACCACTGTGTGGACGTATTGTGAAGTTCTCAGTTTTCTTTACAAGGTAACATAAGAAATAAATCATAGGTAGTTGACCTTAAGTAGCATAATTTTGCGCACAGTGTAAAACAATATTTTCTTCCTTGGATCCCCACACGTCGCATGTGGATTTCATTGGCCTGTGTTCCTGGAGTAAGTGCTGTCCTGAATGTTCTCTCTTATCAAAGTCGCTTTTAAAGCATATACACATGCTTCCTCCCCTCGGCTGGCAGATAGACCTCATTATACTTCAACAGAGCATGGTCCATTACCTGACAAGACCCGTTTTAACTGCTCATCGTTCGAGAACTCCCCATGTCGGAAAGTGATGATTTTATGGGCGGATCGTCAGATGTCTACTTGTCGATCCGCCTCATTGAATTGCTCTGGGTCAGCAGCTGACTCACACAGCTGCTCTACATTGTCAAATCACTGAATCGTTTCGCCACACTGAATGGATACACCACACTGAATCGGTTAGCCACATCGAATGGATTTACCAGGCCAAACCGTTTCGCCACGGCCTATATTGGGTCACAACATCGAATCAATTCGCTATCTATGACTGGTTCTTATCGCCGAAATGGCTCATATTGACAAAATGATTCATTGCACCGAAATGGCTCGGCCTCGCAGAAATGGCTCATCTGGCCAATTGATTCACAGCACCAAAACAGTTCACCTCACCGTAACGGCTCACTTCACCGAACGGTTCAGCTCTGCCGTAACTTTTCACCTCGCCAAATCGGTTCATCTGATTGTTCTAGATCTCGCGATCGGCTTAGATCATTTAAACGTTCGGATCACCGAAGCGATTCAGATCACCAGACTGATCAAGATCACATCAAAGTTCCGGCTCACCATTCTGAACCAGATCATTAAGATGTAATGATTTACCAGCCGAATTGCTTCACCATGCCGTACCGATTCCCCAGGCCGAACTGCTTCATATCGTTGAACCAGTTGACCTGGCTGTTCAAGATCACTGAACCATCAGCATTCATCGAACTGTCAGCATTCGTCGATCATCTGTTCCTCGGACCTTGCAGTGAATCCCCGCTGTTGTCTCGTGCTATTTCCAACACAGCGCATGTTCCCAGTCTACTGGTCATCAGAACCTACCCAACTTGTGTCTGGGATGCCTCCCAAGACACTTTACCCACCTCGAACCTTGTCTTCTTATTCATGGTTCGGGCTATGCCAGCTGACTTTAAGATGCAGGAATTGTTTTGGTTGATTCAACACACATGATCGTTGGTTTGCCGACCACCTACAGCTACCTTGAACAAGATGCCAGATGATGTATTTATTACATTCAACATGAAGGATTGGGACTTCTCAACACTGGTTTTTTTACATCCTTATCGAAGATTGTGAACTCGCATCAAGATGCGGGCAAATTTGTCAAACTATACCAGCTTTCAACACGATCTTAGTTTTAAGGTCATATGTGATGCTTGCCGTGATGCTCACCACGGTGTGGCAAGCCCTAAGCACGACAGTCTGATTACCCTACAGCTTGTGAGGCGCTTATGCTTTTTAGTCACATGACGTATCCAACCTGGTACCCTTTTTTTCTGTTGGTTGAACAGAGGTAGTAGCTAACAGTGTGATTCACCATGTCAAATCAATTCACATTTGATGTTAGTGGCGCAGTCATATAGATTACGCCCGGGACTTGACCTTGTGACGATTCCAGATTTAATCTACCTTCCAATCTTCACCTTTGATGTATGATTCGGTTCAACGAAACTACCCTTTGGCGTAGATATCAGCTCTGCAACCACCCGTTTGGGCAATAGTACTAGATAAGCTTGCTATCCAGGAATATTTTATGACGCTTCACTGAGTCTTGTTTCTACAGACTTCTTGTAACAGCGTTTTGGTGTATCACTGGGTGTAATCATGGCCTGGTTCGTCATCTTCATTACCCTTCATTTTACATCATCAGCAAGCTTCTAGACAGATGGGTCAAGTTTCTGTGCATGGTACCAGCAGTGATGTCTTGTCAAGTAGCTAGAATGGCTTAGCCTGGATTTTATGGGATGTGACTTGCCTGGTTAACCAAAGACTGTGTTGTCCAGAATTTTGTCACTGTGCAACGTGGGTAATGTTTGCAAATGGCGGACTACTGTTTGTTTACCGGAAATTTTGATGATTAGAGTGACTGTGAAGTGCCCTGACAGACTTTTTTTTTTTTTTTCAATATTTTTATTCAATTCAGGGAAGCACACAAGATGGCATATGAATATAATTTGATGAAATAGTAGACAAGCATGACATATGCATCGAGTACTAAGAAGGTGTAAGAGACTTGCCCTGACAGACTTGTCTTGGTCCCACGAGTCGGATATCAAGTCCAGCCTACAGTTGCTAGTAATGATGAACGATGCCATTCACAGTAAGAGTGATTGTGTTGGGATTTCCTCAGCCAGACGAGAGAGACACAGCTTACCGAGGGTGTTAGACAGAAACACCCGTGAATGCTTTGACTTTGGCTGGGGTTACTCGGTTTTCTGCATTAGCTCAAGCACTCAGTTCAGAGGTCACTGCAGTTATGTCCGGACAGTCACCAGGCAGTGATCTACTACCTTTATCACTCCATCTGAGGAACCATAATTTTGTTTGGCCAACCAAGACGTTCCTGAGATCGCTGATCGTATGCATCTATCACTTCGTTTACTATGTGAACGTTCTTGTAGATTTACTGACAATCTCCATGCATTGAACCTACTACATTCAGCACTCCATTAGTACTGTCATGGTAGCTCGACTAATTGAACGTTCCTATCTCAGGAGATATCCCTTTGTCAGAGGCAAGAGTTGCTGGTCCTCTCATTTCCCTCGACCTGCGAGATGCCTGACACATCCTGTTACATCCAGACCATCGGAAGTATCTTTGTCATTACAATGGAGAGTCCTTGCCTTTGGCATATCTATGGCCCCGTGGCTTTTTACTCGGGTAACCAAACCAATAACAACCTACCTGCATTGTCAGGGCCTGACATTCGAGAGCTATATCGACGACTGTGTTCAAGCCAGCAGGATCCAGTCATCCTTCATCTCCACAGGCAGTTCACCATCAAGTTCACCATCAAGAAATTGGAGGTAACACCGACCCGGTGATTACATTTTATCAGGACAGTATTCGACACGACATGCCATGATGTTTATACCTTGGGACAGTTGGGACAAGATTCGGCGCAACCTACCATTAGCCTTGGCCTATCCCAGAATTCTTCCCCAGTGGCAGGAGTTACTAGGGTTGTTGACGTCGGCACAAGCACTGACTTACAGTTTAAAAAATTTGGAAATTATAACTATAAATTGTACATTCATATACTTATCCTGTCTCACGCGATGGATGCCCCCCCAGTCTTTCCTGTACTCAGATTACGACTGTTAACTGTCATTGGCTCCAAGAAGAGAATGATCACTCTGAGATAGTCACGTGGGTAGATAAGTGAGCATGCTGTACGCTTCGCAAGCGAGTAAGGACCTATCCTAAGAGGATAGCAGATTCGAGTTGAGACAAATAAAACCTTACTGAAAATCATTATCTTAAGCCTAATACTGTCTCAAATCAATGACAAATCACAACACCTTCTGAAGGTCAAGACCACATTTAATTGGTGATTTATGGATGACTTTGATGTGAGTTGTCAACAAGACTCTTAAATGCTCCCAGTTTGGCCTCAGAGGATTTGGTTGACTTCTGAGTGATGGCAGCAGATATGTGTCATACAAATACAAATGTACAAAAGTTACATAATTTACATGATGACAAGAGATGAAATATATTCACACTTGAAAATGATGTCCGTCAATAAGGCAAAAAACTTCTTCTGTTTTAATTCATTTGGTATTTTTCATGTTTTCAGGCAGCTGGAAAATACAAACAGAAGGGACGTGACTACGTTGTCGAAGATGGGGATATTATATACTTCAAATTTAATGCTGGAGCTGGATTGACTGGGAAAAAGAAGTGATCTCTTCACACGTGCCTTGGTGGCAATTACAAATAAATGTAATTGTAATACTTAGTAGTCTTGTGTGTACATTTTGAAGGACTGTTTCATCACAACCTTGACATTTGCATGAATGTCGGTTTCTCATGATCCCTGATACATTGTTCTTTAAACAGTCTTCTGTTTTGCTATGCAAATGTGTTTAAAAATGTAAAAAAAAAAAAATCCATTTGTAAAAGATACCAACAGAATGTAAAAGACGGTATATTGCTGGAGAGATATTGAGTGGTAAAGTGTAAATAGTTCAACCAGTAGGATTTAATGTGCAGTGGTACATACATCCTGTTTCCTGATTCTAATATTGATCATTATCCTCAGCTTTTTGTTCCTGAAGATTCTCTCATAACACACAGTTAACTCTTAGACTCTGTACTGTGACAGTAAACGCAAAAGTTTACCAAGTACTGTAAGGGCGCGTTGATTTTCCCTTCTAGAATATTGCTAAAAGCTGCGTAAAGCTAAAGTTACACACAATTGTTAATTAGTAACAGCATAACATTGTAAAAACTATGACATGTTATAACTTTTTGTTGCTCATAATGGTACTGTAATAGAACGATGTCTGACCATCATGTATGATGATGGACTTTGCGTTATGTATTTTGTTTGTAGGGGTATCTAACCCAGTTCGGGGGTGTGATCTCATCACTAGATACAGTCTCACAATACTTGGAAGACGGACAAAGAGAAAACAACCCAAAGCTTCCCATATTAGATGCTGTTTCAAACTTTGCAAAACTATAAAGAATCAATTGCCACACCAACTTACAACAATCTGGGTCACGGCACCAAATCTTTAATAGGACGACGTCTGGCTATCAGGTATGATGATGGACATTGCGTTGTGTATTTTGTTTGTTATATGAGATGTTATGGTGACATTAACGGGCAAACTCGTTCTACTGGTCCAGGTTCTTTCCATTTTATGTGTTTTATGTGCGGGATGAATGACAATTCAAGACGGTATAGTTAAACAAAGTATATTTTTTATGAAAACAATATATATATATATTAGGCACATAAAGAAACTGTGCAAACAAAAATTTAAAAATCGAAATTTATCAAACCTGTGTAGTCACATAAGGATTTAAACTCAGAGATTAGTGACATGTATCCAACATGCATGCATGTGCCACGTTCCGTGATGCCAGTGGGTTCGTCCTTTAGACATGCAATACGTTGTTGCACGTGCATTCCGGGAAAGAGAAACAGCAAATGAATGCCACACAATACTGTCACTTTGGAAAGCTCAACCCCTGCCCTTGCGATCGTTCAAAAAATTAAACGGCTATTGAAACGCATAGCATGCCAAGGCTCACATCTGCACAACGTCATGAGGCCACTGGGATGGTCCGTGGGGGAATATCTCAACGACAAGTGGCTGCACATTTCCGATGCCACCGGAACACCATTTCTGCACGGGTGAGACGCTACCAGAACACAAATGACGTCATCAATCGTCCACGTTTTGGACGTCCACGTGTAACAACGCCAAGACAGGACAGATGGATAAGGGTGACCCATCTTCGCCACAGGTTTCAGACTGCAGTGATGACTGCCCGAACCATCCCAGGACTTCGCCGTATCCACCCCAACACAGTTCGACAACGTTTACGTCATCACGGGATCAGACCACAACCTCCCGCCATACGGCCTATCCTGACACAACGTCATTGACAAGCTCACCGAATGTGGTGCCGAAATCATGTCCGCAGACCCTTGTTTTGGTGGAGAAATGTTGTTTTTACAGATGAGTCCAGGTTTAACATTTCCAATAGTGATGGACGTCAACGTGCCTATAGACGCGTGGGAGAACGTTATGCACAGGCCTGTGTCTTGGAGAGGAATCGTTTTGGTGGTGGTTCCGTGATGATTTTGGGGTGGAATAACAGCACGCCAAAGAACTCCTATGGTGATTGTTCAGGGCATCTTAACTGGTGTGGGCTATAGGGATCAGATTCGTCGATCTGTGGCAATTCCCTTTCTGCAACGTCATGGCCCTGGGTTAACATTCCAACAGGACAATGCCCGCCCTCATACGGCAAGGGTTGCTATGGATTTTTTGCAACACCAAAACCTTGACTTACTGCCTCGGCCTGCAAATTCACCGGATCTCTCCCCGATAGAGCATGTTTGGGAAGAGATGGAACGACGTCTACGCCGTCTTCCTCATCCGCCAGATAACGTCCTTGACCTTGCAACAGAACTTGAGAGAATCTGGCGTGACATCCCACAAGCCTTCCTTGCACGTTTGATAGGCTCTATGCGTTGTCGATGCACTGCTGTTCTCAATTCCGATGGTGGACATACCCGTTATTGAGCTTGTGACATGGTCGTTTGACCCCTGTCCCGCTTGTGGACTCGTGACGTCATTGTGATTGACTTTTCAATTGAAATTCTCCCGACTTGTTATGGTCTCATGATCCCTCCATTAAAGTTTATATGTACCTTTGACATTGTTATCGTACTTATCAACTGGGATAATATTTTGACAATGCACAGTTTCTTTATGTAACTAGTATATTTTATCCACTTATTTGACACAATATTATCTCATGCATTCTGGACGAATATGGCTTCAAACGTCCAGAGTACTGTAATAATCACAAGGAGCACAAAAGATCGAAGTGTAACAAGAGTTATTATAAACTTCTCACATCTGGTGCCAACTTGACTAGGTTCTGCTGTAACCATATTGCACTGCTATAAAAAGGAAACTGGGACGACCTCTCACAAATGTTATTAACTGTGTCACATCTGATGCCAACTCGACTGGACGCTGCAGTAAACATAACTCACTCCTACAAAACAACCATGTGCGACAATGTCTCACAAATGGTATAAACTGTGTCACAACTGATGCCAACTCGACTAGATTGTGCAGTAAACGTAATGCAGCGCGATAAAAACCAAAAAGGTGCATGAAAACCTCCCTAAACCCAACAATAACTTGCGAAACAACCTACAAAGGACTTCTACTTAATTTCCTAATTATTCCTAACCACTACTTTTCTCTATAGAACTACGAGATGCATAGAGTCACCACATTATGCCGGCAAAGATGGATCTACCCACCCCGTCTAACCTTACTTACCCTAAACTATCTGATACTTTATTATTAAACTAACATAACCAAGGAGGGAAAAGGGGATTTCGTTCTTTAACAGAACTTACGGAGCGGGGAACTCTCACATCCAACCAGCTGCTGGTCGAACCGATTACTGACATGTTGCTTGGTTAGGTGCTTTTAAGGGTCGCCTTAGCCTGCTGGCATGTCGGCAGACCTATCCCGCCTGGGGATGCGTGGGGTGTCCCTCCTTGGGACTCGTGGGCGTGGGCGTGGTGTCGCTCCTTGGGACGCATGGGGCTGGACCGGAGTGTCCCTCCTTGGGACTCTTGGGGTTGGGTCTTGGTGCCCCTCCTTTGGACGCGTGGGCTGGATCGGAGTGTCCCTGATGATGATGATGATTTGGGGTTTAACGTCGGCTTTTAGCTGTAGCCAATGTCGCCGACGGGGTAGGTGGGAGGTAAGATAATAATAAATAGGTTTAAAATAAGGAGTAAACCACCGTACCCAAAAAAATATAAATGATGGGGCATTAACCTAAGTGGGATTTTGAAGTGAAAAACTTTAAAAACATGAGAAAAAATAAATAAAAAGCCGATATTATGAAGGGAAAGGGAGAGAAAAAGAAAAAGCAATACACTTGAATTTATTAGTGCTAAGAGATAGAGTTATAACTAGATAGTAATGGTGAAAATGTTGGGCCTATGGTGGGGGGAAAGGAGATTATAAGGAAGTATAGCATAGTGGGGCATGTATAGGAATGCAGGTAAGCTGCATAATTAGTATAAGGGGATTTAATAAGGAAAGAAAAATGGGTTAAGTTGGTGGGGGGTGTGGGTTGGGGGTAAGGGAGCGAAGTAGGCTGTGGGTAAGGGGCCGTGGCTGTCGGTGAAGATTGCAGGTAAGCTGGCTTGGGTGGATGGCATTGACCTTGCGTTAGAGGGGTTGGGCTGCTTTGTTTACATTTTAGTGGACTGTGATTGGCTAGGGGATGGGCGCGGACCTTGCAGCGGATTTAGAGCACTATAGATGAATGAAATTGACTCCCAGGTCTAAATGTGTAGGCATGTGCTGGTGATAGAGTGATAGTATGGGCAAGTGGAATTTTGACGCCTGATCTAAATATATAAGCTAGAAGTGAGTGGTAATGAGAGGGTTTGTTTGGGAGGTTCTAAATTTTTTGGAGTAAGTTAGAGTTTTGAAGGAAGGTGGCTATGGCATGGAATATATTGGGCGGGTTGTGGGGGTTGAGAAGGAGGTGTATGTTATTGTGGTATTTCGTGGGAATGTTGTTGTGTAATTGCTTAATGTTTGTTTGTTGCAGCTGGCAGTGTGTGAATATGTGGTTTATGTCTTCCTGTGTGTTGCAGTGTGTGCACAATCCGTCTGGATGTCTGTTTTGTTTATAGAGTGTGTAGTTTAAGTTAGTGATGCCTGTGATTAGTATGGTTTAGCCGTGTCAATGTTTTTGATATTTGAATATGTGGGAATTTTTCTTATTGGGGATTTTACAATGGATGTGACCCAGGTTGATTTGTTTGTGTTGATGTTGTGTTGAAAGTTGGTATTTGATATGTTTGTTTTAATGAGTTTTTTTATTTCTGATTTGGATGTGTGGAAGTTGAGGTTTGGTGATATATGGGATGTGGCGAGTTTGGCTGCTGTATCGGCGGTGTCATTTCCTGTGATGTTTGAGTGGCTGGGTATCCATGTGAATGTGATATTTTTGTTTGAGCGTGTGAGTGAGTCTGTTTGGATTATTATATTGTGTATGAGGTCTGGGCGCGATTTAGAATGCATGTTGTGAAGTTGTTTGATAGAATTGAGTGAATCGGTTAGGATAAGGAAGTTTGTTTGGGGAAGGGAGGGTATTAGGTGTAGTGCAGTGAGAATAGCAGTGAGTTCGGCAGTGTTTATTGTGGTGTAGTTGGTATAGTGGAAATTTGTTATGATGGGAGGGGTTTGTTGAACATGTATGCCTAGGCCTGTGGGTTTGTTAGTGTTGACTGATGCATCTGTATATATGTGTGTGTGTTTGGGGTAGTTTGTATTTAAGTAGTTGTTTGTAATATTAGTTATGGTGGTTTGACGGGTGGTTTTAGGTAGTTGTTTGAGGATTGTGTCAAGGGACATGTCTGTGATGGGTGGGGGTTTGTCGTGAATGTAGCTTGTAATGGGAGGTGTGTGTTGTATGGTGTTTAGCTGTTGTGCATGTAGCAGACTGTATAAGTGGGTAAGGCATGATGCTTTAAGTGGGTTTGACTTGAATTTTTTAAGTGTAGATTTTTTAATGTTTTTATATTTGTTTGTGATTAATTTAAATATGGGATTGTGTTGGGCCCCAGCCCAGTAAGTGAGTGTGGTTTGGTTTATTCTTTGTGTGATTGAAGAGGTGCCTGTGAGTAGAAGTAGTGTGTTAAGAGAGGTACCACCACTGCTTGAGGGCTAGTTTAAGGGCTTTAAATTGGATGGAATTAAGTTTTGAAGATTAT